GTATGAGAAAGTAACACTGTTCATAAAAATTGAGATTGAAGTCTATATGAATCTAGTAGATATTTATATGGTCTAACCACATCAGCTAGCCATTCCACATATAGTATACCTCAAGGATTGTATTTCTGTATTATCAAATACCTTGCTGGCAGAAGGCCCTGAGCTTTTATTTTCAACCCACTTGGCTCTTATAGGTGTTTAAGGAAAGAAAAACAAATAAACCAAAAAAAAACCCAACCCCTAACTCAACAACTACTCCATATATTAAAATAGGGGTATGCCAGTGCTAGAAATAGTAAGTTTGGTCAAATAAAGATAGGTAGTTATGGGATTGCTTTAAATGGCAAAAAACTGCAGACTTTGGTTCATTGCAGGGGGTGGGCAGGAGAAAAATTACTTCACTCTGCATTATATAAACTGCAACTTGGAGTTTCTTTTACAGATTCCAGATCACAGTCCTCAGATGAATAAGGGTAGAGAATTGGTAAGAAAGGCTCTGAGAAACTGCTAAGGTCTATTGCATGGTCTTTTATGAAATATCAGTGGCCATACTTTGAGAATATTTTTTAAATCATGTTTGTACAAACAGAGGCTAGGAGAAATTGCTGTCAGTAAACAGTATATACCAGTGGTGTTCAACCTTTTGTCCAGCAGGCCAGATGGGCAGTGCCCAGTCCCTCTCCAGGCTGGATCTGACCTGTGGACCTAATCTGGCACCCAGGACCTGCCCTATCCATTGGGATTCTGGTGGTGGGATCCCATCTGGCTGTGCAGAAGGGGGCAGCCCAGCCCAATCCAGCTGTACCAGGGAAGAGAAGCTTGGCCCAAGAGGGCATGGCATGGCATGGCCCAGCCACCATCCAGCCCTGTGTGGGAAAGGGCATGGCCCAACCCCATGCGAGGTGGGGGGAAGGGGGCATAGCCCCACCAGCTGTGCAGGGGGAGGGGGCAGGGCCTGGCCCTACAGGGGGCAAGGGGCAGGGCCTAGACCTGTGTGGGAGGTATGGACCAGCCCCCAGTCAGCTACGAGGGGGAAGGGGCCATGACCCAGACCCACAGGGGATGGGGAAGAGGGGGCATGGCCCAGCCCTGAACCAGATGTATAGGGGGCAAGGGGCATGGCCCTGTCCCAACCCCACCACACAGAAAGAAGGGGTGGGTCCTGGCCCCCATCTGGCTGTAAGGTCCTAGGCCCACCTTTGACCCATCATGCAGGGCTTGGAATCCTGGCAGCAGGGAGGGGGGCAGCATTAACTGTCACAGCTCCCCTGTCAAATTTCCTGACCCATGGGGAGCCCTGCAGGTTGGATTCCAAGGCTCTGTGGGCCACATTTGGCCTGTGGGCTGGAGGTTGAGCACCCCTGGTATATACTGATGCAACTAGAATCTATCACAAGGACTTTAATAGCTTAATTTGAAAAATTACAGCTGCAGTTTCAATGATCCAAGATCATCTGCAATGTAATTCTCATAATGCTCATTATTATAGAGAGGCAAATTTTCAAGAGGTCAATTGCCTTCATAAAACCTTATGAGTCAAAACATTTTGTTCTCTATTACATGCACATGCATGTTTCATTCTGAAGGAGCCTTAGCTCTTCAAACTATAGGATTTAGCACAACTGAAATGTGGCTCTCTCCAGAATTGAGGACAACAGCCAACTGGTGGCATAGATGCAGGAGTAGCAAGTAGGGAAAAATTTTGGGCAAGTATATTTCCTCTTACCAAAGGTTTCATAATATCTTTAAGAGTTTAAAAGTAGACAGAATTGTTTATTTGTTCTAATATAAAACGAGTAAGGCATCTTCATCAATGCAGATTAAGTTACATATCACTCCAGCTGTAGCAGACATTTTAACCTAGATGCCTACACAGCTAAGCTACCTCTGGTTTCACACAAGAAGTCTGCAACTTCCATGGAAAGCTGTGCAAAATAAAATTGAAAATAAAATAGCAGGAGCAATCTCTGCTCTGTGCCTACCTGCATATACTCCGCAAGCTCAAAGTAAGCTCTCCCAATTTGGCACAGCACCCAGCCAGTGTTGTAGTGGTGAGAAGGTAAATGGCTTAATATATTTATCGCTTCTTTACAGTTGTATGAACACAAGGCTAAATAACCTTTCCCCATATCACGAAGAAGGCTCATCAAACCTTCTAGGAGAAAAATACAATAAATAAAAGGGACAAGAAAGCTAGAGAATTACTTGCCTGGAACTGCTGTTCCCTGAAGCTATACATTACGGCAGTCACCACTGTAGGTCTCGCAAGAACAAAGACCAATTCAGGAACTCACGAAGCTACAAGATTATGAACTACTACTTCAGCCATGAGATTTTGCATAGCAGTCCTTCTATGTGGGACTTAAGTTCCACCATCTGCGGCCTTCTTTAAAAGCCAAATACAGAACATACTTGCATGCAAAGACAGCTTCATCGTTAATGACAAGTTGAGCTTTACAATTACAGAAAGTGTTAAAACATTATTATGTATACTACAGCGTTGCCCAAAATTACTTCACTTACTCAAATTTAGCGCGGAGGGGGTGGGCAGTTATTCAGAGTATGTCACTTAAAAGAGCATGAATCATATATTAAAATAAGTCCTTTAAGAAATCTGACAAACTCCCAGATAATGTTTTTTGTCCTTAACAGTCTTAACAGTTTAGGAGGAGTTTAAGTATATGGAACACAAACTTGCGGAATGCCACGTACTGACATTTAAGAAGAGAGAGAATTAATGGTCTTTTTTTTTTTTTTAAACTAAATTTACATCTCCTGTTCTCAAATGGACTGAAGCAGAAGTAGCCACAGGAAAGCCAGCAACATCTGTGAAGCCAAATTGCCAGGAGTCTGACTCTTCCCCGAGGCTATAGCAGCAATCCTACTCCACCAGATCTATTCAGGGGACTGTAGATGACAGAAGCTAGGGGAAACTGGTTAATATACCCTAGCTACTTCTTGCAGGAACAGCACAAAATAGAAACACACAGAATGTAATAGTAAATCTGCCCCTAAAATATTACAAGGCAAAGAAGGTGGATGAAATTTACTTTAAAATAATTAGAAACATCCTACGGTAACATCCTTTGTATTTTCTTAAGTATTCATGTATGAACTTTAACCAAAAATCCACATGCATTTCTTCACAAGGAAGCTTCCAGTAATTACAAAACACAGGGAGTGGAGTTTTTTAAAGAACACCCCACAAATCCATGTGTAGGGACCCAAACATCTTAACTCTCTCAAGTTATACCTTGATGGGAGAAATTCAGGGGGAAAAAAAGAACTTAAATCCATAAAAAACAATCTGAATCTATAAAACACACAATAATTGCACTGGTGTCACTATAGGGTAGAAGTGGGGTAGCTTGTTTGTCTTAATTGTGTATTTGTATATCGTATCATACATTGCTTATTTAACCTCAAAACTGGATGCCTGCAGCTTGTTTTAGGAATAAATTACAGACCTTCCCCACCCCTCTTCTTATTATATTTTCAATCTTACATGATACTAGGGGCACACGGATAGAGATTTTGGGGGCTGATACAGGTAGCTGATTTTTATGAAGGCATAATCGGCCAATACCAATCCAACTGCCGATATGCAGCCCTGAAGCTTGAAGAGCACTGTCCAGCTAGTAAGTCTGTTGTGGTGGTGGTGGGGGGGGGGGGCTGTCCCATTCCCTCCCTCACTGTGGGGGCTTCAATTTGCACACTCCCCCAAACAGACATACAGACATACCAGCTACACACAGCTCTCTAAGCTGTCAGGCCATGCTCCTTGCTGCCTCCGTGCTGTGCTGTGGCTACATGCCTGCACGGCATTTGTTGCCCAAATTATTAGCCACATCAGGCCAATTTTTGATACAGTCAATTTTCTTTATATTGGTGCTGATCTAATATTGGACCAATGTATCAGTGCACCGCTACATGATACTGATCAATATTAATTCAAATTGAAAGCAGGTTTATCCAGGCCTATACACCTCAGTCCCAAGGTTGGGGTGGGAGTACAAAGAAGGAGTCCTTATAGATATTTTGTAATGACATATCTGCCTTAACAGAGGGGAGAAACAAGGATTTTCTTTAGTGTCTCTGCTCTATTTCCAAGCATCTTTTTGGGCAATATTTTAAATTTGGTCATTTAAAAGCATGAACATACAGCCTCACATTTTGTGCATAATTATGTGCACCTAAAAATAAGACAGTCACTTTTATTTTATTCTGGACCATTACCTGCGTAAAACACTTATCTACCTGTTACCTATAGCATAGGTTTAAGTGAAATTGAGTGTTCCATATTTATGAAATAGAAGCTTTAGCCAGTCTTCATTCCTATTAAACTCTGAGAACATGCACTTTAGAGTGAACAATACTTTCCACCAAATCTTACACTACAACCGAAAAACATGTACATATATTACATTCCGAGAGCATTCAGACAGACCTGCCGCTGCTTTCTGTAGCGTGAAAGCCTGGATCTGTGGTGTGACGGTGGAAATTTTCCCTTCCGAAATGATAGAAGAGTCTAGCTTGGTAATTTCTAGACTGTCATTTATGTTTGGCTGAGTTATTCCTCCCTTATTTGTTTTACTTTTTGTCTTTCTGTTTGGAATTTTAGGTGGGAACTTCATTTTTAATTTTTTACTGTTTTCCTGTAAGAGAGAAAAGAAAAAGAAAAAAGATTTTCTTAAACCTTTGTTACCATAACAGCACAGTCACTAGAAAAGGAATACAGAGGTGTGCTTTCTAATTTTAACAAGCAAACCATGTTTTTTCAATCTGGTTTTAGAGCACAGACAGTCTTTTACCACATTAATCTCGTTGATCTGTATATGTGTAACTTTTCTATAAGAATTTTCAAGTTTATAGTTATCATTTGAAATCCCCAGTGCTTAAATTAAAATATTACATTAAATGTTTATTTGATTTTATACTATTTTTTATAAAAGTCATTTTAATCAAATCAAACTGATTTTGACTAAAGGAGGATTTCATTCATGTTCATCTCATGTTTCCGATACATGTACTCAGATTACATACACACAGGAGCTTCTTTACCGAGTATACCACTGTGCAATGATACCGCACCCATTTTTCTGAATTCTAATTTCTTTTTTTTTTTTTAAATCTGGATAATCTGCTCCATGCTGTTTTAGAGGTTTGGGAAGGAAACCACCTCCCTCGACCCCTGGTCTCCAGACTGGCTACCAAAAAAAATAAAACACAACACACAAATCTGAGCAAAAAATAAGAATGCAAGAAACAAAGATTATTAACTGATACTAAAATGTTCTCTGTTTTAGCATAAATTCCCCTCTCCATCCAATTTTTGAAGGAAGTAGAGCAGGCTCTGGTAGTTATTCTTTGTAAAGGGAAAACAAGAAAAATGGCAAAAAAGTACTTTTTTTTGTTTGTTTGTTTCCTCTTATAATTTGGTATTCTACCTTCCCCATGTATTTCAGTTCCTAACTGGAATAGAGTTTTCAGCATCACTAATTATTAGGATGATTCTGTAAGCAATATCAGCTCAGAGTATGACCTCTTGTCCCCCCCCTCCTTCCAAAGGATGTCCATTCGCACACAACAGCCCTTTTCCCTGAGGTTCTGGCAGCAATATGAAACCATGCAGAAAATTCATTTCTGGGCAGTTTCTTGCTGCTACTGGGAGGCACTACTACACATCAAAGTAATTGCCAAGCTGAGCCATCACTTGCTGGATACTTTCACACTGACAAGGAAAATGCACCAGAATTTAATTTCAGTTATCCCAGAGTTCAGTTTAACTCTCTAAAACTTGTCTCCAGGTGACTTATACAGGTTGTCCAAACTAAGTTCTAAGCCCAGAAATGTTCTACGATAACAGTTTAGTTAATACAAACACTTGGATGTTAACCTGTGAAGCAGCAACTTGAAGTATTCATGTTAACTAAAACATTCAAAATCATCACATATAGTTCAGAGGTTCTCAAACTGTGGTCTGCGAGTTCCATTCAGGTGGTCCGCTGAAAGGTTGCGGAACAATCAAGACTATCTGTACGTGTAACGTAAAACTACTGATATTAAAATATGAGTTGTGTGCTTTGACTTGTAGAACATAAAAAAGTTTAAGTGGTCCGCCAAAGACCCTCAGCAATTTTCAAGTGGTCCATGAAAAAAAATGGTTTGAGAACCACTGATCTAGTTTATGCTGAACAGCAAGATGCATTTCACAAAATACACACGTTCTGGGTCATTTCTTCAGTTTCTTCTTCTAAACAGAGTGGCTGAATAATTAACTTATCAGTTATCACAAATGGCAAGCACAGGAAATGGATAAAGCATGCAATGTATTCAGCTTGTATTACCTTTGTTGTAGAACTATCACTAGTAAATAGGCGAGAACTTCTTCTAGGCAGTGCATTAGGTGGAGCAGCAATAGTTGGGCTCAATACCTGAGGTGTTGTACTGGAAACAAACAGTTTATTAGAAATAACATTTTTTAAGGTTTTTTTTTTTTAAATCCACTAAGTTTGTAATGAAATAGATTCCTCGTTCACTGTACTGGAGGTGACTCCATCTCCTTGGAAGAGTTATATAGTAGAGTGTAATAAATTAACCATAATTTTAAATTTTCCAAAATACTCTGTGTAGCAAACTGTGTGGGCATTTTGTTCCATGGCAAGTTTCTATAGTAAAGTTAGACTGCAGTATAAAAGAGATGTGAAAGAGTAGCTAAAGCTACAGCTGGCAGCCTATTTAAACTCTTGCCAGTATTTTAGCTAGCTGACTTTTACAATAATCAAGTTGAAAGTCCTCTCTGTAACATAAAAAAAAAAAAAGAAAAAACCCTCACATCCAAATTAGGCCTGATGTTCATGAAACCTGAGACTGAATAGCCATTTGGGGCACATTCTGCTTGTGTAAGCAAAAATATGTGCACAAGTAAGATAATAAAAACCCTCCATTTGGCAGTTCAACATGGAAAAAAAAAATGAGGCTTTTCAAACAAGTTTTTCAAAATACCATTTATTACAAAAACAAAATTTTGTGAAATCTACTGGTAGGTCAGAAACAGTTAAACCATAACCTGGCCCCAGTATAAGTGAGGCTCTCTTGCCTTAAGCACTCTGGTTCCAATACACTCCCCTGAATGAAATGTTACAAGTTATGCCAATTTTCACTACGCCCTGTTAGCAAAAATTATCTTGAATGTCTTAAATGGACTATAGAAATTACTAGTTTAAACACCAGTGTCGTAAGTATTTTTGTTAGTTATAACCTCACTTTCTCTCATTCCTTATATGATCAGAAATGCTAGTCAATCAAATAAAATTACTCGGATTAATTTTGTAATTATCACATAAGAAGGATGTGAGAAGTACAATCCTTAAATAATATCTGCAACAGATGCTACATGGAGATAATTTATTTCATACCTTGTCTGTGGGCCAGAACTTTGCGTTTGTGCAACAAGGATTGGAGTGACTTCTCGGCTATTTCCACTCTGTGAGAACACAGACTTTGTCCCACTTTGGCTTATCCTGGTGACAGACTGCATAATACAGAATTTCTATAGGTTTGTTATTATGTCACTAATTGCACCAACTACTTTTTGTCAGATAATAAGTCATTTATACCTACAGAATAAAATAGTGGGGAGAAGGGAGAGAATTTTTAAAATGCAAAATACTGGCTGATTCTCTAATACAAAATAAGGCAAAAATACTGTTCTCTCCACCTGCTGGACAGAGAGCAAGAACTGAACTTACCCAGGCTGTAAATTCATAAACATTACGTGTCTACATCTGGTAGCAAAGAGAAACTATATGTGTTTCCACAAACCATGTGTTTGGCCAGGATAGAGGGATTTTTAAAAGTTGCCCTTATGGTAAAAATAGACCATCGAATACTCAAAAGTAACACAAACTACAGAAGAAACCCGTTTCTTATCTCTTTCTGTTATTACTTTATAATGGTATCCAAAAGCTCTAATCTCTAGAGCCTCTCTGCACTGTACAATATGGAAGGCAGAAACAGACCGTACAAACTTAACCCAACAGTAAGCAAACCATTTGGCACCATCATGTTTAGTAGAGAACAAATGTTGTAACCTACATGGCTTGCCAATAAAATGGTGTAGAATATTGCATATGCATTTGGAGCAGCTACTTAGTTAACCTCCTTTATCAGAAGCTCCAATATGACGCACTAAGGCAATCAGACAAATTTAAAGCAGGACTCCAAGCAGGTTTTCTTCAGGCTGTCTGTCAAACCAAAGTAACAGGGCATTTCAGTTCTCTTTTTATAACGAGAAAAGAGCAAAACAAGAAGTATATTTAAGATATGCATTACTAACACTGTAGACAAAAAAAACCCGTTCATTTTCCTTTAGAACCCCTCAGAGGAAATCTCAAATTAACACTACATACCTCTAAGTTCCTTAATGTCTTAAAGTGGGACGAGGTACAGCATGGACTAAATCAACTTACAATCAGTTAATTATTTAGCTACTGTCCTGTCCTTCCTTTAACTGGCTCAATATCAGATGACACTGTATGTGCCCGCAAGTGTACTTGCCCTCACAGACAAGATGTACATGGATCCATCCTAATGTTTCATTAATTTATGTAAATATTCCCTAGGAAGCGGTTAGTATAAGTCATGCACATTTTAGCCATATCTACTAAGTTTGCAAATAGTTAATGGTAAATTGAAGAGCAGAAATGAAACTGATTAAGTAATTCTTGTATTTTATAAGACATGCAGCCGAATTCTAAATCATCGATTAGAACTGTGCTTTATCAATGTTTGTGTTTAGACAGCAACATTAAATGCAACAAAACAGTGTTCTCACCCAGATTACATCAATATACAGATGTAAATTTCACTAATATTGCCTAGTAAAAATAATGAGAAAGTGTGATAGGGTTTTATTTTTCTCAGAGTTTGACCTACAATGTGGCTGAAAGCAGATAAAGAAATTAAAATTTTACTATAATACAGCAGTAATTCCTCCCCCACATACAAGTAAAGCCTCAAGCTAAAGGCAACAAACACTAAGGATTACAGTGCATGCACTTCTGGTAGCCCAAATGACAACCAGTGGGCTAAATGCAACAGTTCTGTGGGCATATCCCTGGACTATGTCCTTCCCCCAGATCCAGGATGATTGTTTTTTAACTGTACAGAAATGGGAAAATTGATCAGTGGCACAGAAGTTGGTTTGGAGCAACTTAGTACAGAGTTGGCAAGGCAAGCAGGCTTTCAGAGAATTCTGGACAGAAAACAAACACTTCAGAAGACAACAGAAGCAGCCTCGGTTGTTATATCATTTGAACTGTGACAAAGTATGAATAAGCCATGAAGCAAAATTAGTGGCAGAGGAGGTCCCTGGCTTAAAGACTCCCACATTTTAATGATAAAAACAAGGACATTGCAAGCTAAGTACCAACACTGAATTAGCCCATACTACTAAGTGGAAAGGTGAATCCTACACCCCTGCAATCCTACTTTGAGGAATTTGACTAATAAGATAAAATCTTTTTTCAGCACCATTGAAAAACAAACACCCATATTCTGAATAGCTGCAATCCTCCAAACTTCATATAAAATTGCATTGGGAATGCTAGAAGACAGTTTACTAAAAAAGATATATGGAAGGATCCTCAAGGGCTTGGGGAGGAGGGGGAGAGAAGGCATGGGAGGAAAGAAGGAGAGGTACAAGGGTTCTTCAAATATCATCTGACACTACACCTCTCATTAAATTATTCCTATATCATCTCTGTCACAACTAAAATAAATTGTCCACAGTGGAGATACTATATTCGCTAAAAACTTATTCAAGAGAAAATAAGGCTATAAACAGGTAAGGTAACATCATACTGCCAGCCAACTTTGTGGACCATCCGAAAGTATCTAGGACTGTATGAGCTACTGTTTAAAGAAACACCACTCTTATGCTTTCTTAAATGCAGTAATTTCAGGTCTAATGCTTTTAACAATACTGTTATGCAGTATATTTTATAAACATATACATTACAAAAATGTCAAGTTAGACTGAAATTAATGTGCTTGAACATTTAAGTCTTCAGAAAGCACTACTAGCCGATTATATTTTTCCAGTATAGGTTCAGCATATATCTCCATACTTTAACAAAAGGGTTAAAATCAGGCCAAAGCAGGAATCTGTCCTCCTACTCCATGGAAGTTTCATAAGAGAGATGCAAAAAGAGAAAATTCTGGAACCAAGTCAGAGAAAAATATGGTTTTGAGCAAAATACTGTAGTATGATTATTTTTTCTGCGGTTGTTCTCTTTTTTTTGGCTAAATTACCTTAAGTTTAAAAATTGTGAAGTGGTTTTTCAAAACAAAAATGGTTTCCAGGTTTCCAGCTTAGGGGTATTTTTTTTCCAAGTCAAAATAGGCTTTGACTTGAGAATATTTTAAATTTCAATTGGCATTTTCTAATGCATGTACACACACAAAACATTTAGTCAAAAAGTTTCCAACCAAAAATAAAAATGAAAATTAGCAGAAGAAGAAAAAGTTTAGAAGTTGACAAGGGTAAGACAGCAAAACAAGTTAGTGTCAGCATTAGAGATTTTAATAAAAGCAAGTTTTTGTTTACAGACATTTTAGAGACAATTTTAGTTCTCATTAGGCTCTAAGAGCACTTGTATGAGTTAAAAAATGTTATTAGTTATTTGCCTGAATGAGCAAATGTGATTTCAATGAAAAAAGAAAATCCAATTTATTAGCACAGATCAGCTAGCGTAAGTTTTACATATTTACACTTCAAAACCTTGCATTTTGTTGCATTTAAAAAGACAGAGTAACAAACTTTCTTGAATGCAAGATACCTTTTTCGAAGGTGCTCCTGTAGATGGCACATCAATTACAGAAGATGAATTAGTGTAGTTTTGTAAATATGATCCATCTCCGGGACTTGGAGTTTCTAACGGCAAAATTCCAAAACTGAGAAGAGAATGCAATGGAGGTGTCAGAATCCCAGCACATTTGAAAGACAGAATAACTAGAGACACAAGACTCAGAAGCTGTGTGCACGTGTGTATCTTGTTTCCATATCTGCTCTGTCAATCTCATCCAAAACCCTAGGCAAGTTAGTCTTACTTCACCCCTGCCATCATTTGTAAGCTAAATGAACATATTCATATTCTTAAAACTCTTTGTGACAGGAAATCTCTTCTACATATAGTAGCTAAACACAACGGTACCTTTATCTCTGTTGTGGTGTATAAGTACTAGTGAATTCATGTTTCTAACAGGGGGGAAAAAAAAAATGACAGGATATAGTCTGTTGAAGCTCATAACTCCCCTCCCCATCTCCCCTCAAAAAATCCAAAGCATAAGAAATATAGTAATGCCAACTGTCGTAAAACCATTGTGAGACTCGGGATTTCAAAGTCAAAAGAGCTCCAACTCGTTATTTTCCGATCCAACACTCAGATCTCCAGAATTTCCCAGCTGGTAAGTGGAGGGAAAGGGGCGGGAAAAAAAAAAAAAAAAAAAAAAAAAAATCAAGGCCCCCAGGGTGAGGGAGGGAGTGAGTGGGGTGGGTCATCCAGAAGGTGCAGAGGGTGTGGCTTCCTGCAGCAGTGAGAACCCTCAGGGGCATGTGTCCCCCACAGGACAAAGGCAGCTTGCCTGCTGTGGGCTGGGGCTCTGCACCCTGCTGCCTTGCCCCAGGAGCTCAGCCACGGGATGCCATTGCCGCCTGCAGGGTGGGCAGGGGACACGGGATGTGCTGCCTGCCTAGCGGCAGGGGGGCCACTTGGGGCTCGCGGCGC